TGCAATATATATATATATATAGATAGATAGATAAAATAAACATATCGAAATACACAACTATATATATATATATATATATATTAACTTATAAACGACCAAAATACTATATTGCAGGCCATCTTGTTGAAAATAAAGATTATTCTGAACAAAAATACAAACTGTACAAAACTTAAGTCACTAGGCGTGAGTAATGGCTTTTCTTAAAAGGAAAAAAAACAGTGTTTTTCTAAGGCTTGTTGAATAATCTTTTATTTATTTCTGCAGACTGTTTTACAAGTCAGACAATGTTATTCTACAAGTTCCAAGTTGGACTGTCGGCCATTTTCGATAAGAAGTCACAATGTGCACACATAGCCCGGGCTAATGTATGAGAGGAAAGAGGAACCCACAGAAAAATATAAAAAATAAAAGAAAAAGGATGATGTTTACAGTTAGTGGAAATAATCGAGTGCTTTGGTATTTACTGCGTTTCGCTCAACCTGGTGTGTGGCAGATTATTTAACTGTATTGTAGTTTACATTGAGTGAATCGGACTAAGAACTGAGCTACATTACAGTGATATGACGAGTGAAATTAAAAATTAAACTACTGAATTCCGGGGGCAGAAATTTCTAACAGATGGTATCCAGGACTGCATTAAACATATCTCAAGTTTTAGACTTTTTTCTCAAACACAGATGAAAATACATCCAAAAGCTACGAAAATAATCACGATTTACCCCGCCTTCAAATTCAAACCTGAATGTGTACCTGATGTAGAAAATGTATACTTTCAAGTTATTACATTAAATAATACACTCATCATAGAAAAACAGTGTAAAATACCATCTATATCCCAGAAGAAACATTATTCAAATGCCTTCTCCGTCAATGGAAAAATATATATATAATAAATGTTACCTTCGTTACAGAAACGGAAAGAACAGTAATAAAGTATCGACTTCGTTACTGAACAAAGAGTGATAAAATAATGCCTTCGTCGCTGGGAAACAAAGATAACCTATTTCTTTAACGCCGGACAAACAGCAATTCACTAATAAACTTATCGATAATAAACCTATGATTTACATACTTAGTAGTCTCAATGTAACTTCAATGTACAGCTATTGACGTAACATTTTCCAAACGTAAAATGAATACTAGGACGTAATTTGTTCAAAAACAAAACCACATTAGATAAGTGACAATCATTAAAGAAGTTATAGGCACTAAAAACTAATCCTAATTTAGATTCTTTAAAGAGTGTTTTTCTGAAACACTGGATTTGATATCTCAAATAGATTTTACATTTTGGTAACATCAAAGTTTCAAATACCTCCTGAGTACGTAAAGAACATTAATGAAGTCTCATAGTTATCGAATAAAGCAAAACGTAATTCACCAAAGTCTTACTTTCCAAATCAGATGTCCTGGCTGAGCTTCAATTGACGCCACCGCGAAGTAAGGTAAATTAAGATATACTGGAGCATTGTCATTTATATCAAGAACCTTAACTTCTACTAGAACGTGAGCGACTCGAAGTTCATCTGCGGCATCCCCTTTTACCTCTACCACCAAAGTATAGCTGTCCTGGAGCTCTCGATCAAAGGGTCTTCCAGTGGTTCGGACAATGCCAGAAGTTGGTCCAATGTCAAACATGTGGGAAGGATTAAGAATGCTGAATGTTAAGTGTTCGTTTAAACCAGCGCCTAACACCGTAACAACAGCAATAGTTATAATTTCTGTCGTGTTTTCAAAAATTTCGCCCATGTACTTTTCTTCATCAAATGTAAGCCCACTGCCCTCAGTTTCTCTTACTTGGACCACAACTTTAGTGCTTGCTTCAAATATCCCATCACTAACAGACACAATCAGTGAACGAGTTCCATGTAAGGCACTTGGATTGTGTATAAAAATTTCACCTGATGTTTCATTGATTACAAATTTCTGGTCTGCGTTCCCTGATACGATTTTGTACTTCAATACACAATTTATCTGAGTGTCTAAATCATGGGCTCTCACTTGAGTTACAATAACGTTCTCGTAAGTGGGTAGGAAAATGTTAGCGTCGTACTGGTAGAGCTCGAATTGAGGAGGAGAATCGTTGGTATCAACCACGTTAATGTGGACATGAGCAGCGGTCTCGGCCCCAAGTCTAGGACTGCCAGTATCAAAGACCTGAACTTGAAAGTTGAACTCTGACATACTTTCGTGATCCAGCTGGCGAGCCACTTTTATCGCTCCTGTATATAAGAAACAGTGCAATGTATCACCTCTGAGGACAAATAAACGAACGAAGAACAATATATGAATAACGATAAACTACTTTTAATTTACTGATGTAATACATATTTTTCTATTCACAAGTTTTAGAGAAAAAGTTATTTATCTTTCACGAATTGTAAAAATTAATTGCTTGAGATAAAGCAAGAAAAACAGTGTTCACGGGCATGTAGAGTCAAATGATAAAGATATTGAAAACGAGAAAGGGAACTTTGTAATGTAATTTGTTTCCTGCTGTAAATAAAATAATTTGTATACATGATTTTTTCTTGCTCTTAGAATTCCTCTCTGTTAATATTAATATGATGAATTACATTACTCAAAATCAGAAGCTGTTTAAGAGTTTGAGCCATCTTTGATGGGTTGTAGATTTCTAGAGCCCACTTCAGTCAACTATAAGAACATGAAACTACTTTTCTTTAGCTTTAATCAATAGACACAGAACCACAAATATCTGTACAAATAAATCTTTAGTTTGCTTCATAGCATAACATTCCAGCAATCAATCAAACAAGGAGAAAACAGATTATTTTCTTATAAATTTTCCAAATACACTTTTTTTGGGTGGAATTGTTACATCTTTTCTCTGTGATGGGCTTTAAGAATATTGCTTGGTATTATTTTTTGAGTTAAAATCGTACTACAAATGTTTGAAAATGCTTTTCCTCAATGTGTTTAGATTTTTAATTGTTTGTTTTACCTCAAAATTATTACACAGAGTTGATACTTATTATTTAGAAAGAATGCGTGATATTGACTATAGAATGGGTTTTTTACCTGTACCTGTGTCGATACTAAAATATTTTCTGGCTGTAGTTTCTACAATTTCATAATACAAATAGGAGTTGATACCAGAATCCATATCTTCAGCCGAGATTACCAGGGGAACGCTATAGTTTGAGAAAACTAGCGCCCCAATTTCTGCAGCTTCACTCACTTCTCCATGATAATCTGAGTGTAGAAAGTTAGGCCGGTTGTCATTGTAATCAAGTAAGTGAACGAGGACGTTACGAGCAGAATTTCTGCCAGCCAGATTACTCGCTTGAACCGTCAAGTTGTAAAGTTGTTGTTTCTCATAATCCAACTCAGCAACAGTGAAAATGACTCCCGAGTGGGGATTAATATAAAACCGTTCTTCATCATTTCCAGAAATGATCTCGTAATAAACAGAAGAATGGCTCACTGTGGACACTGCAGTCACCATTGTTCCAATTTTAACATTTTCGTAGATTTCTTCTGAATAATCTTTCCTGGAAAATCTGGGCACAGCGTTATTGGCTAGCGTAACAACTACTCTGATATGTACTGTACTGCTTAGAGGAGGTAACCCATGGTCAAAAGCCCTCACAACGAGAAAGTATTCTGGCATCGAAAGATAATCTAGCTCCCTGGCCACCAACACAGTCCCAAGATTGAAATCTATCTTAAACGCATTTCCAAAGTTGCCTGTAAATAGCAAAATAACAATTAGAGAAAACTGTAATATACACTTTTATATAGGTATTTGTTAACAAAATAGAATGAAATAGTTTGAAGATTTTACAATGCAATGCTAATTTTGAGTAAACAAAATGAGCATTTTAAATAAGCTTTGATAATGAATGATATTTTGATAGAAATAAGGCCACGCCAATTCTTTGCTAAGTTGTATATTTACTGAAGTTCCCGCTTCTAAGAAAATATAAATCTCTGGTTATTTTAACAGATGTGCGAGTCAGCTAGTAGGTGTCTATTCAACACCTATAGGCTTAAGACCATTCCACACTCCAAGATAATTACTGACTGCTTCATGTTGACTTTGAGGTGATTAATTTACTCGCATATTAGAAAAAAGCATTCATGTTACCGCAAACTGCTGAAGATTTCTATAATCCAAGAACATGAGCATTAATTAGTTTTCGAATTTTCACTTCAAATAGACTTATTAGTTTCAAATATTAAAAACATTTGGTCACCACTTGACTGTTACCTCTTCAATTTACATTTTACTTCTATAAATATGTTAGGGGAATTATTCGAATTTGTAAAACTGTAAAGCTCGTTTCAATTACTGCATTAATATATAGTTGTTGAAGACGCAGACTTTAAACTGAAAACTGAATTTATACTAAAACGATGTATAGTTTTAAATGTATCAGGCTGTCATTCATTTACTATATTACAGATGTGCTCAGGCTCCAAATACTCTGGTTTGAGATTAAAGACCTGATGAGTAAGAGACTGTAAAATTTCCATTACAAAAATATACTGTGCTTTTCTATATACTAAAGATTGCTTAATTTGCTTGAAAATGAGGATCTTACGTTTACCAACAACTAGTAACATATAGATTTATTTAACTTTTCCAAAACGTTATAAAGCATGTGACAGTTTGTCTAAATTTGACATTACTGGCTAAATTTACATGTCGAAACAATTATTTATTTATTTTGAAATAATCACCCAATAGTTAAACTGTGGAGTTGAAATTCCGTGATTTTCGTTCTGTTACCTCACATACACATAAAAACTGTTTGTTTGTTTGTAATTAAGCACAAAGCTACACAATGGGCTATCTGTGCTTTGCCCACCACGGGTATCGAAACCCGGATTCTAGCGTTGTAAGTCCGCAGACATACCGCTGTGCCACTGGGAGGCCACATAAAAACTAAAAAGAAAAAGACATTGTGTTCCGCACTTTGAAATCGCGAGTGCGTTATAAGAGTGTAGGCCAAATCCCAGTATTCGGACTAGCTGAGCTAGAAGTCCCTAGTTTTAAAGTTATAAGCTAGAAGAAAGACGCTAGTCAGCACCTTCCATCACCAACGAAATGTGGAATTGATCTTCACATTATAGCACCTCCACGGCTGAAAGGGCGAGCATGTTTGATGGATTCGAGCCCGCAACCCGAAGACTGAGTGACGAACGCAACAATGCGGATAGCGTTGACGAGCTGTCTTCTCTCTAGTCAAGTGCTGTACCAGCTATTTTTTTATTGAGCCCTACATCCTGAACATGCGTTTAGCTGCAGCCCTCATCCCCCTTGCAGTCCGTATAACCTATTTGTGTATATATACTCTACACATGTAATATAGTAACATCGATTAAAATAGGTAAGTGACTATACACAACTAGGTTATACGGACTGCAAGGGGGATTATACTCTAAACATGTCACTTACCTATTTTAATCGATGTTACTATATTACATAATAGTAATAATATTTTTACGATAATTTTAAAATTTCTTTATTTTTTAAATTTGCATTTCCAGATATAATTTACACAGTTTCATGTCTCACAGTTTACGCACCACGGCTCTAATCTATAGCTTCAAAATTAGGGACGGCTAGCGCAGATAGCCTTCGGGTAGCTTTGCCCAATATCTAACAAACAAATAAAGTGTTTGAGAATTATAGAAATATCCTAATTTGTTTAAAGTCAAAATACGATGAAATCATTAAACAAAAGTATTATTTGATATAAAAATACAGCAATAAGGGAACTTTGAAGGCTTCTGGTACTTAGGAAAGCCAAATGAATGGCTCAACTTTACTTCAAACACTCGTATTCTTTTAGTATTTTGGTTTAATGCCGTTGAAAGGCTTCAAGGTGGTAGTGTTTCTGTGCTCTTCATGTTCAGGAATATAGTAACTTCAGATTGGAACGTGCATTACGTTTTCCAGAAGGAATGTACTAAAGTATTGAGTTAACTAAGTAAATTTTAAACAAAAAAATCAAAAATTATAATTTCTTTTTTATTACTGGTTTTGATTTTTTTGTTTTCATTAATAAGCAAAGCGTTCATCTCATACCTTATTGTTTAACTAGATATGAATTGCTACTGTTAGAATTATAACACATTTTTTAAACTCAAGACCGTCTAGCGGTCAGTTAGCCATAGTTTAATGATAAACGGCTTGCTGTATTATTTTTGCGAGTTTCATAGCACACGAGCATATAGTCACACACGTTAGTAAAGGCGTCAGTATTAATCACCATTGGAAATGATTCAAAAGTAAAAACAAGTTGCACTAAAATAAGTTTAATTAATTATTAATTTCAGTTACATATTTTGTAAATGTTACGAACAATAAATTTGGCCTTGTATTTCAAAAACATCAATTCCTAGCGTACAAAAATATATCAATTTGTTTAACCAACCTAAATTTCGTCTTATTACTGGTATTTTCAAACTATGCGGCACCTTATCCGGCCAGGTCAAATACTCTTAGGATTCAACATAGCCACCTCTAATTTAAATCTTCTGATCAGAAGAAGGGCAACCAGCCTACGAGACAAATCTTAATGGAACAGTTGGAAAACTCCCATATTTGAAATTTTGAAGCACGTTCAGCAGCAAATCGCTAATCAAAATTTGTATCTGAAGTCCGCAGCCAAGTACGCAACCCAATAGATCATACCAATCGTTTAACCCTGCAAAAATGTTTGGATTTCTTTTAATATCTCTTGATACTTATTCGATTATTTTGCTCGATCGACTCCAAACTTTAAGAAAAAAAAGCAATATACGTAGAACAACCACGTTAACTGAATAGTTGGGACACACTAAAAATGCCACATTATTACGTTTTTTTACAATCTTTTCAAAATTATAATATCAATAATATTCGTAAGAAACACCAAAACTAGCGTCAAAAACATAGAGCTTGAGTTAGTTGTCCCCCTACGGACTTACAACACTAAAATCCGGGGTTCAATTCCCCGCAGTGGACACAGCAGATAGCTGAATGTGGATTCGCTCTAAAAACAAACAAACAAATATAAGTTAATTACTTGGCGAGTTTTTCAATTTATACTTTAACAAAATAAACTTGAGGCCATAAGATATGTTTTTCTTAGTGCAAAGTTACACAATGGATTATCTGAACTCTGTCCACTTCAGGGAATTAAACCTTCGATTTTAGTATTGTCAGTCCGTAAACTTATCCCTGATCTAGATAGAAATATAATTTTCCAATAAGAAAATCAAATATGACTCCTATAATCCTGGTATTGAACGTATAGAACCGCAGTACCGGTCATAAGTCTGGATCCAAGGTATCAACAGGTCATAAGCCTGGATCCAAGGTATCAACAGCCAAGTTTTCAAGAAAGTTTTTCTTTTGGTTCACACATTATATTTATTTTCAATATTAGGTATAAGTGGTTCATGTTAGAACATGGTAAGTTAAATAATCAATATATAAGCCAAGTAATGATGAAAATTGTCAGGCGTGAATGCAAAAGCGTTTTGAGACAAGTAACCGATATTTCTTTTAATATCTGCTCTAGATTCTTCCAACCATGCTGTAAACTAGATGGTTTCTCTTGTGCAATAAATATTCAATTCGATTAGCACTGAAATTTTGGGCTGGAAACTTCATAACTTTATAAAACCAGCTCTTTCTTTCTCCTCCAAATACCTCTTATTCAGCAGAAAAACAAGTTTTCAATCATTATTCTGCTAAAATACAACGCCAGGGTCAATTGAATTTTGACCACTGCGTGTTGAATTACATACCAAGATTTTTTCTTCATAATATTATCAACGTTGACAGTATTTCTCATTCCTAAAGCTAAAAACATCCCGTTATCATGCTTCACTGTTTCACCCAGAGTTTACCCACTCATGGTTACGTTCCCATATAAAAATGTTCCTAATATTTACTAACCGAAAAAGCTCAATTTTTGTTTTGTTAACTCTTAGCAGATTGTCCTCATTTTTCTCCATATTTTTTCGTTTCATTACAAAATTTAAAAGCTTAACCAAGTCCACACATGAAACAGTAAGCTTATCGGTTACAATACTTCTATGTATACCACATTATTACAGTTGCTTGCCTACAGTTCTATTGCTGGTTCTGCCAATAGGCATATCATGTGTTTTTGTACTTTATTTTCTGGGATTGATTTGATGTTGAAATTCTTCGAATGACACTATCTTTCTGTCTCTATGTCCTGGACGTTCCTTCCTCCTATTAGCCTTTAAATTCTCATTTAAAGCATATGGACTTAATGATGTTTGATCTTCAGTCTTCGGGTCTCTAAAGTTCTGAACAAACTATTCGTTAAGTGAAACAATAATTTTTACCAGTTTTTCATTACTTAATTATAAATTCTTCTTATTTTTTAGCTTTAGCCATGTTGAAACTTGTAGAGGATTTGAACAATATTGACATTTTTGACAGGAATACAATCATAGAACATTTTTATTTTGAGGTTCAGATTTTTGATCAGTTCTCTATATATTATTGATGTCTTATTTGTGCATTAACTATCACTTCAAAGCTTCAGAGAAGGTACGTTTTCTCTCTGACTAGGAACTACAAACATGATTGATAAAACATTTTCCATTTTCTAGATCACAAGATTTGCCAATAATAATAATACATACCATATTTTTCTCCGGAATTTCATATTCGAAACATAAACAATAAAATATCGTCTTCCAAATGTAGCGTATAGTAACGTATTTTTTTTTTTTGCTTTTTCTATGTCCAAAATATGCAATAACAAACCACTGAATCAGTATCTTACATCGAGCGTTTTGGATGAATAAAAGTTATCATTTAGTGTTTATACATTACCTGAAACCAACGAAAATGAAATCTGTGCATTTCTGCCTTTGTCCCTGTCAAATGCTGTTACTTGAACAACGGATGTCCCTACTGCCGCTGTCTCGAACACGTGACCTTCGAATAAAGGCAGCAAAAACTCAGGTGGGTTGTCGTTGTGGTCTTCTACATCAATGATAACTCTTGCAAAGTCTCTTTTTGCAGGGGTTCCATGATCTTTAACCAAGACAGTTAAAACATGTTGATGGATGAGTTCGTGGTCAAGTTCTTCCGCAACCGACAACACACCTGTAAGTTCGTGTATGTGGAACATCCTAGGACTGGAAGTAGCTGCACTGTCACACGATAAAACATACCAAAAACAGTGTTTTAATTTAACGTTTGAGTCTAACCCAAGAATTTTGAAAAGCAAGATGTTAAAGCAAACACTCCATAGCTAGTGCAGTGTTAAAACGACATATATGTTTTATTAACTAATACACAAAAAGCGACATCATGATGCGAGAAGTGATCAGTTTCTGTTATAACAGCACTTTACATAGAAAAGCAAGCAAACAGACGTATAGTAGATATAGATCCTGAAGTATACTATATATAAAGATAACACACAGACTAGGAAGAAATATTTTTGAAATTTGTTCATGCTACTGATTAACACCGAATACTTTGAAATTTGAGAGACATTCCTGGGAGGATTTGTTTTGTTTGTTTGTGTATAAGCACAGAACGGTACAATGTAATATCGGCAAATTTTACCGCTATAGTCTCTCAAGATTACTGGTGAGACACTTGCGGGCTTCTGAAAAGGGGACCCCTGTAATTGTCAAGATATTAAGTAGCATCAGTATGGGCAGATTTTCCACATAAATTTCTCATACAATCCAGAACACAAATACTTGTTTTTAAACAGTCGAGGAATTTCCGTGTATTTAGTTCACATTAAAATAAAACTATTACTGACATTTTCAAGAAGTTTTATGTTTTTATTTCAGGTCAACATTTTAGATAAGTTTGTTTGCTGTTAAGCACAAAGCCACACAATGGGCTATCTGTACTGTATTTACCACGAGTATCGAAACTCGGTTTTTAGTGCTATAAGTTTCAGACTTACCTCTGAGCTACTAAGGGTTTTTTGGATAAGAGCTTCCAAAATAAGAAACTATTTTAATGAAAATTGTTTGTTTGTTTCGAATTTCGCGCAAAGCTACACGAGGGCTATCTGCGCTAGCCGTCCCTAATTTAGCAGTGTAAGACTAGAGGGAAGGCAGCTAGTTATCATCACCCACCGCCAACTCTTGGGCTACTCTTTTAGCAACGAATAGTGGGATTGAACGTAACATTATAACGCCCCCACGGCTGAAAGGGCGAGCATGTTTTGGTTGGATGGGGATGCGAACCCGCGACCCGCAGATTGCGAATCGAGCGTCCTAACCATCTGGCCATGCCGGGCCCATTTAATGAAAATAAATGAAGTTTGATTTACAGTTGGTGTTGGTTGGGATTTTTGTTTTAATCGAGATAATGTTTCTTTAGTGGCGAGTGAGATGTTATCTTAACACTTATTCTGCTATTGAAACAAGTTTCGTTCTTTTTTTATTGGTTAACAATATAACTTTATATGAAGTTCACATCTTTGGCAAACTATGATACATGATGGCTAAGATTTATCAACAAATACTTTAAAAGCAGCGGTTCCGCAATCATTTTAGCCAGGCCCGGCATGGCCAGATGGTTAGGGCGCTCGACTCGCAATCTGCGGGTCTCGGGTTCGAATTCCCGTCACACCAAACATGCTCGCCCTCTCAGCCGTGGGGGCGTTATAATGTGACGGTCAATCCGTTGGTAAAAGAGTAGCCCAAGAGATGGCGGTGGGTGGTGATGACTAGCTGCCTTTCCTCTAGTCTTACACTACAAAATTAGGGACGGCTAGCGCAGATAGCCCTCGTATAGCTTTGCCGAAATCTCTAACAAACAAACACTTTAGCCATGTTACACAAAGAGTTTCTAATAGGAAAATAGTTTATTGTCTATATTAGGCTATGTCACAACTTCTGGATTTTATTTTCGAATTTGTATTACCCAAATGGGAATCCTCCAGTATAGAATAGGCAAGATTAAAGACTTTCGATTGGAGTACCGAGTTAATTTACTTTCTAAAGTACTTTTAAAGTTGTTTTTTTTTCTTTTATCATGAAACGTAATTTATACAGAGGATTGAGTACGTTACATTAAACAACTGAAAATGTGCAAATCAGCAAGTTGCATGCCAATTACAGCCGATATATAGTCACGGTGGAATGACATGTACCAGAGTTACATTATGACATTGTTTGGAATTTTGTGGGTAGATAGACACCACAGAAACTTGATCGCTTTTGTGAAAAGTAGATAACAGCCATTTTCTAGTCAAAAATGTTCATACACTCAGATCATAAAGTTGTGTTCAGATATAACCATTTAGAATTTTCAAAACGGTTATATCTCTTGTACTTAATGGCATTGGAAAACAAATGAATGTGAACCTGCTTGGGAACCAGAACCATCTAAAAGGAGACCTGTAACAAGTCGTGCATAAGGTGAGGTTAGCAAAGTTCAACGTCTTGTAACCAGTGAGAATCCACGAACACCAAGTGTCAGACAACAGTACAATTGCTTCTACGACATATCCGTTTAATTGTAACAGCTGGAGAGTGAAAAGGGTATTCATGATATTCTATATGAAGACATACCAGCTAAGTCGCTGGACGCAGCACCTATGGATCTCTGTGCGATAGGACTGTTAAAATAGGCACTGGAAAACCGCTTTCTCGTACACTAAATGGCTTATGGAAAGCATGCACAAAGAAGACTAATACTTTAGATGCGATGCATTACGGCGAAGCGTGCTGGAATAGAAACTACGCTGAAGACCTATTGTCAGTACGCACGGTCGTCCTATAGAGCATGAAATGACGTGGCGATATCGATTGTAAGGACGTAACAAAACTCCAAAATCGTTGTAGCATAAGGTAATAAATCTCTGTATATTTTCATTTAGACATAGTAACATATTTTGTTGGTGAATTGGCAGGTTTGTGTTAAAGCAGTGATAAGTTGTGATGATGTAACAACAGGTTTGTATTGACGTGATGACATATTTCAGTTAATGAGCGGACAGGTTTGACTGTACGTAGAGCCGAGTTTGTATTAACAGAGTAACAGTTTTACTCACTCACTCATAAAGTCGTGTCGATACAGTGTCAGTATTTGTTGACGCACCGGCAGGTTTGTGTCACTTGTTAAACGTATTACAGTGAAAAACGTTTACCAAATACGAGGCTATTACATGTACATCGCTAAAGCTTATTTTACTTGCATTACTTAATACATTGAGCAGCAAGATCAGGTGTATGAATATATTAATATTTTTTATAGGACAAAAAATTAGTAAATCTAGCACAATACTTAACAGGTAATTAACTGATTCTAAGACTACTTGTTAACACTCTGGCGACATAACTCTTCAATGTAAAGATACTGGCCTAAACTTTTTACAATGCATTAACCTAAGCTCTTAGGTTATTTACAATCTATGATACAAATGTTTCTCTTTAGACTCAATTTACATTAATTCTTTTGATTATATTATATTGACCGTTATCCTTGTAGTTTACAAACAAATATCATAATAATTATAAACAACTAATAAAAAACTTTTTTTTATTGTCAAATGATGTAGGGATGGCGGACTTACAACGCTACAAACTGGGTTTCGATACCCATGGTGGGCAGAGCACAGGTATCCCATTGTGTAACTTTGTGTTTAACAACAACAACAAGAACCATGAAAGTTAAAGTGAAGTTGAAAGAGCTAAAACGTGTTTACAAAAAATATCTTTTTCCACCAAAGCTTTTAGTGCATTTGAGCTGCAGTTTTGAACATTGGGGTCAATAAAATACATTTGTTAGGTCGCAAACTAAAACGTCTTGAATGGACAGGTAGCATTACTTTTTCTACCATTTCGGAAAATTTTAGTCATTTTACGTTGCCACTACTATATAATAGTGAATAATTGTCAGTTTGTGTTGTTTTCTTGTTTTTATGACATCAATTCTATAAATGAATGTATTAATCATATTTTTATCACATGTGTCGAACTGTCAGTACTTTTTTTTTAAATCGCGCATATGCAAAAATTGTTAAGATGATGACTGGCATAGCATCACACTCTTTTGCCTCCAAAAGAGTGTGATGCTATACCAGTCCTCATCTTAACAATTTTTGCACATGCATATACTTTACCAAAGGCAAAAGAGTGTGATGCTATACCAGTCCTCATCTTAACAATTTTTGCACATGCATATAGCTTTACCATACCTCTCGAAATACTTCAATATATACATAACAATACATATGATTAATTACCCAAATAAATATTTTCAATCACAATATATCAACACAATTTAAACTGAGAATGACGTGGCTCTGTTGATATAATGTAAATATTCCTTGATAAAGTTGATAGAGAAAATCTTAGGAATAAAATATTTATTCTGGAAGATTAGTCGTAGTTACTATTAATTCCAAAATTTAGAAGGTTTGGACGGCTCCACGACCTCAATTACATAATTATTGTAATATTTGCATCATAATTCACCACTGATCAATATTTTAAGAATTTACTTTTCATAGTTGCATATGCATCTTTACCAGAAGCAAAATAGTGTGATGCTATACCAGTCCTCATCTTAGCAATTTTGCACATGCATATAGCTTTACCAGAGGTTACAGTTGTGCTATGTCATTCCATAGTTATTGAGCATTTTAGTTAATGTTTTTATTTCTATGTTTTACTTGCACCACTCGTTGCCAGAATACCAATGTAAAGACTTCATCATTTCTTTTGGCTACATTTTAGCCATTGATTTTATTGCTTTAGTGTCAACAAAAATCTTTAGTTGCGCAAACCTTTCTCGGGTATTTTCATTTATCTTTAACTCTTTAAATTTTATTTATGGTTTTTATAACAATGATCTCAATTTATCTTAAATGACCCCAATTTTATTTTCAATATAAACTAAAGCTATTCATTTTCTCGGCTTTTTCTTTTTACTTCGGTTGAAGTTTCAGTTATTGCATCTACTTACCTAACCAAAAACACCCCTGTCTGCTAGAATTTATGGACACTGTGAAGAGCTTATTGATGTTCCTAGCTTTTTTTCAAGAACATTATGAGAGAAAAAAAATGTTTTCCCAAAAGTTCGTTTACTGCTCTGAAAAAAGAACTCCATTCATATCTTCAATTATTTCAAATGAGGATGTAATTATGTACACTATTGAGGGTTTATATAAGCTCGCCATAAATAATGAGAAAATAATCATTAACTTTTAATTGTAAATATGGAAAAGTTTCCTGACATTGACATTCTCTCTTACAGCGCTAAGTTTACGGACTTACAAGTATATAATCTGGGGCTCGAGTTCTTGCGGTGAACAGAGTGCAGATAAAAATTATTGAATTAGTGTTGGAAGGTAATGTTTCGTGTAACAAATTTGTTATTATACATTTATTTTAATATCGACGTTGTTTAGATTAAGTTTATATTTTAAAACATACATAGCTTATAGTGTTAAATATGTATTGTGAAACTCCCGCCTATTTTCCAAAGTTGTAGAGGATTCTCGAGAGCAAGAAACAACAATATACGTATATACTTAAACGTTTAAATGTAGCTCAGAATTGTTTGTTACGTAAGACTGAATTTTCTAGAAATTCTTCCCACGCCTATAAATAAACCCAACGCAACGCGCCAAGAAGAGTGTCTATTATTAGTTCGCTGTAATCAGTGTGCTATAAACTTCGAGAGCTATAACTGTGATTTTTATAACACTTATCAATAGGAAAGCTTCAGATATTTGACCAGGAACCTTTACAAAGTTCGAACATTACAAATAGTTTAACTTCAGTGGATTCTCATCTGACATTAGTATTTTTACGAAAATATTATCTAACTTCGACGGTGGAAAACCTAGCGTGTGTGGCCAAGGACAAAGCTAGCTAGCTTCCTGGCGAATCGTACTTACATCAACTCGTAATTAACTCGCTCATCGTAAACCCTCGATAAAATATCTAGGGAGTTCCAAACTAGAAAGAAGATTTTATACTGCTTCTAAGTTTGTGAAACTTTTGTTTATAAATCTTTGTTTGTAATAACTATTTGTAATAATTGTTACTGTAAATTGTATTGATGTGTGTATATTAAGACGTATTTCTGTTAAAAACGAAGACGGTGTGTATCAATATTGTTGGTAAGTATTGTAAATTGACTAATATATCAGCATATATTTAAATACCAAATCCAAAGTACAATTTAACTACTAAATTTAAATTATGAGTTAACTCTGCTTCGGATTATTCGAAATTCTAATACGTAACATTCGAAACTATTCCAATTTAAGAAAGTTTACAAATTCGGTGTTATAAAGTCGTTTATTTCTTTGTATTTTCTTACTTTTCAATGACTCTTTCCGAGTCTAATTCCATTGTAACACGGTCTTTATTGCCTGACGAAGGGCGTCTGCTCGATATGTCGCACAAAATAAACTTGAAACATTTTTCATTTGAACGTGTCAGTTATTTTTATTTTCTATTATCATTCATCCAAAGCGCAAATAGCCTACTGTGTAGCTTTGCGCTAAAACACAACAAAATAAAACAAAAATATTTTAAAACCCAAATATCAATAATAGTTTTGTAATAATTCTGAAAACAAAACAGCTTATCATTAAATATTAGTTTCTTGTTTTATAAGGAGAATTCAGTTGATGAAGACTTGATTTTAATACATAACATTTTATTTTACATATGATGATTTATAAAGCTAGTCAAGTTTGATTCGTATAATAAACTCCTTGCATGCCAAATTTCTAGATAAGTCAAAATATTAACTCCATTTTCCTGTCTTATTTTTAATTTCAAAACAGCAGAATACCTATTGTATAAGGAGAAAAACTGCCTCTTATCTTGGTCCAAGTCGGATGCTGACAGCTGTATTAATTTAGTTCCCATAACAACGCTCTCTGACACAGATACGCGGTACGTAGATTGCTCAAAGACTGGTGGATGCTCATTGTAGTCTTGGACTTCGACATAAACCTGTAATAATTTGTAGAAAGTCCTTTTTATGATTATGTATGACTGTTTAAGACAACTTAGTTTCTTTGACACTACACTGATCAGATGAGGGTATGTAAAACTGCTTATTAATACTAAATAATGCTGTTTACAGAATTCGACAGACAAATATCCGTAAACTCCCACAATAACAAGAAAATTTGTCATATTTGAGACAGGTAAAAATAGTGAATTCTAGAATCAGCTAAGCTGAAACTATTCATAGAAATGTTTGTATGCCAGTTTTTTTCTTGTTTGATAATATAATACACCAATTGGGATCATTTTTATAAAAACATAGATTATATAAACGCTTTTATTTAAAAAAAAGTGTTCGTGAGATTTAACAGCTATATCTCTTTTATATATTCAAGGTGGCATACAACACTATGCCAATCATATCGAAATAATTCTGATACTTATGCTCGTCTATTCTGAATATTTCGTTTTATTATTCATTTTATGGCTGATGGATTAATAATAAGTTTCATATCACATGTTTTTTTATCATTTTTTAATACTATTAGATTAATTCAGGTTGGGATAAAATTTACAATTCATAATATCGAAGACTGCCCAACTTAATTTGTGATTTATGAATAATACATTTATCTTAATATTCTAAGCATGTGAACAATGCCTGTATGTTTCCATCTGACATATATATGCGTACTGTAATCGTTTGCAAAGGCATAATTCAAACACACGCCATTTTATACAAACGTGTCTTGCATGCCTGAGTGATCTGGTATCTGTACACGTAAAATGTCGAAATTTAATTACTACATTAACATTTTTTGGGGTGAAAATACATCTTACATCTCCTCACTAACATTTTTTCAGTTTCTAACATCTCAAGAATGTATGTTTGTCAGAATATTTTCAGTTGATTTCGATATGAAGACGTGAACGTGAGAATGAAAATTCTCAGAGAGAAAAGGGCTTGTGAACGTTTGAGTGTTAATGGAGCTTCCGTTATGAATAAGTAGTGGAAAAATATTACGTTTACATGTATTACCTACCATGAATATTAAAATATGAAACAATTAAACCCAAATGAATACAAATTCTATAATCTCTGAAAAGTTCATTAGTCAGAAATAATCGTTTTTGACGTCATTCATTATCTAATGAATTGTGGTGAGAATGATTTATCTGTGGATACAAAGTTTAAGTTATCGTTACAAAAAACGTAGTAAAAGAAAAAATAAAGTAATGACAGATAAATATATGCAATATACAAAACATGATGTTAAAGAGACTGTTACGAAAGACAGACAAACGATTGGAAAATAATAAATGTATAACAGACAAACAGTATAAAGTACAGACAAACGATCTACCTTGGTGGTTACAAAATGAACACCGTCCGTTACGCTAACAGTCAAGTTGAAGTAACTACGAGTCTCCCAGTCTAACGGTTCAGCTAATATCAAACCCCTTTCATCGGGCTTCATCATGAACTTGTTGTCTTCATTACCACCTGGTAACAAATATAGAATACCAAAGTGCTTGTAAAGTACTCCCGTTTCTTTCTGGTATATAATACTTCGACAATCTTTACAGTTTGATGAAGCAAAAAAAAAAGACTTATAGTGGCATCTTAATTTCAATATTGACATACGAATAATGTCTGGCATCGTTATATTCAAGGTGTATATTCATATGTTATACATGGATGGCTAAGAATGTTTCAAGAAACATCAATTCAGATGTACTTAGTTTATAAATAAGAGCCGCGGCTCCCGAAATTCTTTTAGGCAGGAGTAGAGTAAATTAATCTATGAGACCCTTTTTTCCTTTTTTATTTGCTATATTTTTGTGGGCCAGTAATATCAGGCGTGGGGCGCGCGTATACCTGATTATATTTTATTATTCATCTGGATCTCTACCAGCCTACCCTCAAATTTAAATTATTTTAGATAGGATTAGAGTAAATTAATCTATGGGACCTTGGGCGTCGTCAAATAATCAATCGAAATGTTTTGAGCTCCTGAGTCTAAAACTGTAATTAGATCTCAAATCGGTCAAGAGATAACGGAGCTATGAGATAAAAGTTTATACTTGGAAAAAAACTCAGAGCCGTTCTATGAGCCATTATGCCGCGGCTAAAAAGGAGAGTAAACAGAAGCGATAACACAATTTTTCACTTGTAAAGAGACATAAAGGGAAAAATCAGTATATGTTTTTTAAAACACCTTTTAATGTGGGAAAAGAATCATATTAAATGCACTTTGTTCTTAATTGAAGCAACCGAAGAATGAGAAGATGGTAAAACAAGAATGTAACCTATAATAACGAACGGTCTGCTTTATGATTCCCATAAACGCGATTATTCTTAACTCAAATTAATACTTTTGAATTTATTATCACCTTGTGAAACTATCTTTTCTTGAATGAAAGTGAAACGTGAAGAATAGCACGAGTAGTATTATGGTTTGGTTAAATTTTCACTTGGAATTTCTTTAATTGGATAAAAAATCTTAACTCTAACATAATTGAAACCCCCCAAAAAGTTAAAAATGGAGAGATAAAATATTATAAAAATAAAATTAATTTATATTTTAAAAAAATCCCTTTTGAAATGCGTATTGTTACTTCAAAGTATCAAAGCAAATGTCCAAAAAGAAAAGTGAAAAAAAAATTTCCAGGTAAGTATGACTTTTTGTATATTAATATTATATAACTCTTACTGTAAGGTATAGTGTTGTAGTGGTAATTAGCACTAAGCGCCTCTTAATGTAAGCTATAGTGTAGCAGTAGTAATTAGCACTAAACAACTCTTAATATAAACCAAGATGTTATAATGGTGCTTAATTTCCATTGAAAATATGAAATCAAGTGGAAATTGTGATTTTGCTGATTTAACATAACATTTTCATACAACTCTATGATACGATTATGTTTAATTTATCAATCCATGAGAATTAATAAGCTATCAATTATGTTACTTAAACATAAAACTGAAGGAGGCGTAGATAGCCTATAAATGATATACTTTTCTAAGTGTTAGGTTACATGTATGAACTACAACTCACTTGTGATACGATACCACAACTTATCATCATCTGGATCCTGAACGTCAATTAAGACCACTAGATGGCCAACCTTTTCACTTTCACTGACTTTCACGTGTGTTTCTGCGAGTTTAAAGCGTGGCGGATTTGGTGAGCTTGTGGGGATGGCAGTTACACTGATCACAACTCTTGTTGTTGTCGACCGTTGAGGCTGACCGTTGTCTGATGCTCTAATCTGGAAAATATTAATGAAATTGAAATATATTAAAAAAGAAGAAACAAAACGATTGTATTGATACCTAAAAATACACATTTATGGCAACAATTATTTTTAAATAAAGGCCAATTCTACGAATCTAGCTACATAGAAGTATAGGAAGACAAAGAACTTATATTTAACAGTATCCACAGCACTCAAATATTTCAGTAAAAAAGATCGAAATTTTGAACTCGGTATACATCGGATTCTATTAGTAAAATGTTAAAGCGAGAATTTACAACAATATCTGAAATTAGGGATTACATCCCATTTTTAGATAATTATGCATCCCCACTTTAAGATCTTATTAAACAATCTATTTTCAGTTGTTGTTATACATCCCCACTTTCATACATTGTTATACCAGAATTATTTGGAAGTGGGGATGTATAACAATATCGGAAAATGAGATATATAAAAATATCGAAAATGTATAACAATATTTTAACTTTGAAATTTACGACAAAATCTGCACTCTTAAAGATTTATGATTTTTATAGCCGAATTTGGCGCTGCACCATTCGTTTGTCGTCGGTAGGCAAGTGTAGTATTTTAGAATAATACTAGTAATAATATTAATTACATTTTTTTCTCATTTTGATGCTATGATACACTTTTCTCACTGGAAACGCATATTGGAGTAAAGAATGGTGTGATTAAATGTTTTTATTAGTCTACTCTGAAAAAAAGATTACATCTACCACTAACTAAAAATCTCATTTCCAATAATGAGGAATGAAAAAGTCAAGTTGTAGAGGTTAAAAGACATTTACGGAGAATTTAAACATTGAGAAGAGAACGAGAGAAGATGATGTTATTATATATAGATCATATCTTGTTCATTTGCAGACTCCTATTTTCGCTACAATATTTTAAGATTTATCTAATATAAATTGTATAAAAATGTCTACATCAACTTGGATGTTTTTTTATTTAAATTGTAAACAAAAACACAAACCAACTTCATCTTGATTAACTTTGCAATAAAACTATCAGAATATTTTACAGGGTATGAATCCAAGTTTCAGGGGTACTTTGGAAACTGAATCTGCCTTGAATTTAATAAGCGTTTTATTGATGATTTGTTTCTGAATCCATTCATTAAACACTCCGAGTTAATTGCATAACAGAGTTTTAGTAATATTTTCCAACGTCATTTGTTACACGAGAGAAGCCGTTCCAGTGCTAGTTATTGCACGGCTCTGGGTAGTTTTTCAATATGCCGCCTTTCCGCCACTTCCCCATCCAATTTTATTTTCAATAGTGCAACAAAGCCCTATGGCCACAAATCGAATGAAATTTAGTTTTTCACGCTCATTCATTAAAGTCTGAGGGGAATGTTTCGTTCCACTTCAAAATTTACATATGGAAATATCCTTGTCTTCATTCAGAAGAAACCACATATTACTTGCTTGACGTTCAATACAACTTCGCCCGGCATGGCCAGGTGGTTTGGGCACTCGACTCGCAATCTGTGGGTCGCGGGTCCGAATCCCCGTCACACC